AGCATTGGATGTTCAGATCACAAGCAACCTGTGTTCAATGGCTCTGGGTGCATACTACCCTAAATGTAAGTACCGCTGGGTGCACCATCCCGCCGCAGCAGCCACCAGCCCCTTACAGAGTTTGACAGGCTGCTGACAGTGGGGCAGGGCAGTAAACCTGTGCCCCCACCCGCTACTAAATGCTGGAGCCTCGTGCAGAGGGGCTAAATGCTGAGTGTACTAATGTGTACTGTGTCTACCTTTCCCCATGTCACTGCTGTAGGGCTTTTATTGCACCCTGTGACATCACCAGGCTTGTAACATTCTTGCAGGGGCAGCTGTTGGAAGCTCAGTTCCTATTGATGTAAACATGCCTACAGAACTGCTTCTCAAAACAGCCCTTCCCTACATACAGGGAGAGATTCACTAAAACAGGAGAGTGCAAAATCTGGAGCAACTCTGCACAGAAACCAATCAGCTTCCAGGTTCTATTGGTAAAGCTTGCTGAACAAACTGAAGTTAGAAGCTGATTGGCTACTATACACATCAGCACCAGATTTTGAGTGCACCAGTTTTAGTAAATCTCCCTCACAGTGCGTGAACAGGAGTCAAAGCAGGAACATTGCTTTGCTGGAAATAAATCAATGTATACATGTGGAGTGGAGTGGAGTGGAGAGGGGTGGATGATAAATGGAGTTCAGTAGTCAAGCAGGCAGGGATGACAACGCTGGCTGGAATTTCTATGCAGAAAAGGCACGGTGTTGTCAGCTCAAACAGGAAGTTAGGTGCACACTTGATTTCTGGCAGATCAACAAATACTTTCATGTATTTTTAGAATTTTTAAACATACCTATTTACAACTTAAATGAGCAAACATGATTTACAAAAACTTAGAAAGTGTTTAAAGCAGGGCCTGAAATTTCCACTCGCCTGCTCGCCAATGGGAAGTGGAAATTATGACGGGGGCGAGTGTGCCCCCCAGGGCCGTCTTGCTGAGCAGGCTCGGAGCTCAGGCCGGATCTGTCATTGGCACTGGGAGCCGTCAGACTGCTCAATAGCTGATCGCAGTGAAAGCAAAGCAAGGAGTGTGTGCTGTGCTCTCTGCTTCCCCCTAGAGTGCAGTACCTGGCTCTGTGAGTGAACAACGAAGTACTGCAACTTTTTTTTATGGGGGGGGGTGGGTGGGTGGGTGTGTGTGTACGTGTACATGTGTGTTTGTGTATGCATGTACAATTGTACATGTGTCTGTGTGTATGTACATGTGTGTATCTGTACATGTGTCTGCGTGTATGTACATGTATTTGTGTGTGTGCATGTGTCTGTGTGTATGTACATATGTCTGTTTATGTATGTTCATGTGTCTGTGTGTATGTACATGTGTCTGTGCGTGTGTATTTCTGTGTATGTACATGTATCTGTGTGTATGCGTGTCTGTATGTGCCTGTGTGTGTATACATGTGTCTGTATGTGTGTACATGTTTCTGTGTGTGTATGTGTGTATGTACATGTCTGTGTGTGTGTACAGGTGTCTCTGTTTGTGTGTGTGTGTACGTGTCTGTATGTGTGTGTACATGTGTCTCTGTGTGTGTGTGTGTACATGTTTCTGTGTGTGTATGTACGTCTGTGTGTGTGTACATGTGTCTCTGTGTGTGTACATGTTTCTGTGTGTGTATGTACATGTCTGTGTGTGTGTACAGGTGTCTCTGTTTGTGTGTGTTTGTTGGTGGCGAGTAACTCTAAGGCCTGGCTAGTAGCTCAGGACTTGAAATTTTAAGCCCCGGTTTAAAGCCTCCTAGAAGCTGTAACTAAACTTGCTGGCTGGCATTCTGGCATTGCTAAATGAATTGAACAATAAGGTTTGTGTACGCAGCAGAGGCAATGAGAAAAATCTGTGCTCTTACAGCAATCAGCATACATATAACATCAACAATTCTCCCGTTATATTGTAAAGCGCTGAGCAAACTGTTGGCGCTATATAAATTCTGTATAATAACAAAGACCTGGTCAGGAAAAATAATTATTGGTAGATATTTTCTAATTTCAGAGAAATATTTAAGTCTTTCAGCATATGGTTTTTCATCCATAAGCATTCCAGATGAAGTAGTTAAGGATGTGACAGAGGTTGATGACAAGCTTTCTTGAAAAATAAAGGCATTCATGGACGGGCAATAGATAAGTAGGCCTTGTACGTGACGGCATCGCCTGCTTGTCCCCGGAAACATCTTTTAACACTAGATGCTGTGGCAATGTAGAACGAACTGCTTTTTAGTGAAAGTGGTGAGCTGACAATTTCCAGATCTCTGTTATTCCTTACTAAGTGCCAGTTGTTCTATATTTTATATTCTCGTAAACCATATCTAAATTCTCAAACAATACTTTAGTATATTTTAGCTTACCAATCTTCAGATGAGGTGGTCACATTAGTTTCTCTTTAAAGGCCATTTTTGCTGTATTTTCATCTGGTGACCCCCGTCGGTAACAAATTTCCAATTTCCCAGTACTACAACACTCACTCACTGTACTGTATCTACAGAGCAGCACCACTGTCACCCTATCGCAGGACTACAGAACACCTTCCTCTCTTCTCTTCTTGCACGTTTTGAGCCTAGTAAACTTTTGGCTTTCTGTGTAGGCCTATTCCAGAACTGCCACTAACAATAATTAAATTGGTCACGTTATTAGTGAAAATCGGGACATTGTATACCTATTCACAGGTGTTACGTGTACCCTGAATCATACAAAGAATTCGAACCCTTGTATACAGCGGGTAAAATAAGTATTGAACACATCACCATATTTCTCAGTAAATATATTTCTAATAGTGCTATTGACATGAAATGTTCACCACATATCAGTAACAACCCATGTAATCCATACATACAAAGAAACCAAAACAAACAAGTTCAGATTTAAGTTATGTGTAATAAAATAGAATGACCAGGGAAAAAGTATTGAATACATGAAGAAAGGGAGGTGCAAAGAGGCATGGAAAGCTAAGACACTAGCTGAAATCTATCAGTAATTAGAAAGCAATCCTGCCCCTTGTCAGTGCAAATTAATATCAACTGGTTTAGTCTTAACTGATGGCCTACAAAAAAGGTGTCTCATTATCAAGGTGTCACAGAAGAAACATCTCATGAGTAAAACCAAAGAGCTCTCTCAAGACTTTCCCTACCTTACTGTTGCAAACCATACTGATGGCATTGGGTACAGAAGGATTTCTAAACCTCTGAATGTTCCAGTGAGCACTGTTGGGGCCATAATCCGAAACTGGAAAAAAAACATAATTTCACCATAAACCGGCCACAACCAGATGCTCCTCGCAAGATTTCTGACAGAGAAGTGGAAAGAATATTCAGAAGAGTTGTCCAAGAGCTAAGGACCACTTGTGGAGAGCTTCATAAAGACTTGGAATTACCAGGTATTATTATTATTATACAGGATTTATATAGCGCCAAGAGTTTGCTCAGCGCTTTACAATATAACGGGAGACAATACAGTAACAATACAGTTCAATACAAGAGGGTTAGGAGAGCCCTGCTCCTTGGAGCTTACAATCTAAGAGACAATTGTTTCAAAGAAAACAATAAGTAATGCACTCAACCACCATGGTCTGTATGCACGCTCACCACATAAGACTCCATTGCTGAAGAAAAACATGTTGAAGCTCATTTAAAATTTTCTGCACAACATTTAGACAAGCCTGTGAATAACTGGGAGAATATAGTCTGGTCAGATGAGACCAAAATTGAACTCTGTGGCTGCCATAATACACACCATGTTTGGAGGTCAAATGGCACTGCACATCACCCCAAAAACATCATACCAACAGTGAAGCATGGAGGTGGGAACATCAAGGTGTGGGTCTGTTTTTCAGCATACGGTACTGGCAAACTTCATGTGCTTAAAGGAAAGATGAAAGGAAAAATGGACCAAGACATTCTTGATAAAAATCTGTTGCCATCTACAAGGACGATGAAGATGAAACGAGGGTGGACATTTCAGCAAGACAATGACCTCAAACACAAAGCCAAGGAAACTCTCAATTGGTTTCAAAGAAAGAAAATAAAGCTGCAAGAATAGCCCAGCCAATCACTTGACTTAAATCCAATAGAAATCTATGGAAAGGACTAAAGATCAGAGTTCACAGAAGAGGCCCACAGATCCTTCAAGATTTAAAGACTGTTTGTGTGGAAGAATGGGCTAAAATCCCACCTGAGCAATGCGGCGCCATGGTAGTTCATTGAGAACTACAATCCAACAGCCGTAAAAGCTGTCAATACTTGTAGTTCGCTGATTCACAGGGATCTGTGAATCAATGACATGGCCCTGTGGGCAGAGCATCTGGAAGAATGATCAAACATTCCCATAGACACACTCCTAAACCTTGTGGACAGCCTTTCCAGAAGAGTTGAAGCTGTTATAGCTGCAAAGGGCGGGTCAACTCAATATTGAACCCTACGGACTAAGACTGGGATGCCACTAAAATTCATGTGTGTGTAAAGGCAGGCGTCCCAATACTTTTGGCAACATAGTATATGTGAACCAGCACTTAAAAGTGTATGCAAACCCAAATACAAAAGTATTCTCTATTTTTTTCCTGTTTTAGCTTTCCTTAAAGTGTTATCCAGTGATCCAGATAGTGCCTGAACAAGGACTTTCTATTATATTTTGATAATGCTCTGTCCCCCAGGCATGCACCTGTGTTGTCACCCTGTCTCCCAAAAAAAAAAAAAGACTACAAGTTTCAGCACACATTGCACAAGAATGGTCCACTGATGTCAACAATAGGGAACCCAGCCTGGCAAATGCTAAGACTGCAAAGCCTAAGGACTTCAAAGACCATTAATAACTTTTGTGGCTAATGAGCTTCATCAGTTAATAGTCACAAATTTTAAAATGTAAATAGCAGCAAAAACTTTTACAGACTAATATAGATTGTATAACTGCAGGCACGTCATCAGAAATTTCAAATATCATACCACTGACCACGTTTGCAGGGGTAAATCCTGTTTACTCACCAGGAGCATACTCCATTGCAATCATAAGGGCCTTGTCTTCTAAGAAATTCTCATAGTATTCAATGATGTTTGGATGATTTTAATAGTTTCAGCACTTGACATTCATTCTGGGCTGCAAGACGCTCATCTTTGGTCATCTGCTCCACAGGTATTTGTTTGATGATCACCAGCTTCTGGTCTGCTTTTCTCAGACAGAGGTGCACAATCCTGCAGACACACAAATATGAATTGCCAGCTAGAAGAGACCCCACAGATCACTGAAGAACTATGTTTTGAAAAGTCACCTGAATGACACTGGTTATGTGCTACTTCCACAAAATGTTACACATTGTGCCATAAATCTAGTAGGTTACCATAAATGAGTCTAAACTAAATTGGTGCTAGAAGCAGTGACAATGGAGCATTGCCATGTAAGAGAAAATCAAGGATGAATACAGGTGGTCACTTGTGCGATACATTTTTCAAATTGAAAAATTCAAAAAAGCTTGTTAACTGTTTACCATAATAATTCCAGATGAGATTTTATGCAAATAAAAATCTGTACAAGACAAAGTGGCATTTTCTCCAGGTTCCTGACACCCATAAAAAAATAAACAATTCAGAAGCTTGTTGGTTGTATAAAATGAAATCTGAAATTTATGTTTTTATTAGAAGGACCTAGAGACAACAATGACCCGTTTGCTCATAGCCTTCAGATGACCATATATTATAGTGACAGCTGAGCATTTTAATCATGGTTAGCTGTGACTGAGTGACTATCAGATCATGTAGGGGGTCAATCAGAGAGCAAACATAAGCTGTTATATATGAATCAACCAATATCACACAGAGAACATCTAACTTTTTTTAAAAAAAAACTCTTCATGTGAAAAGAGAATGAACTTTTTGAAGTGTTACTAAACTCGGGACCATTCACTATATCTGGTCTCCCACAGTACACAGAACATAAAATTGGAGTTATTTTAGTCAATATAAACTACTACATACCTTTTCTCATCAGCAGTTGGAGCAGTTTTGTGACTGCTATCAGTGTCAGGCAGAGAACTGGTTAAAGCTTGTAGGAGGAGTTTTCTTTCTGCTTTTAGGAGGATGCAGAACCCGACCTCTGTCTGGACAGGGCTGATTGGCCCTGTGATGATCACATGCACTCTCCCAAGGGAAAAAAAAAACCCTCACTAGCAATACACACCAAACAGAGCATGTGCAGAGTGACTTCACACGACATGTCTTATCAGGAGATAAGAGGGGGGCACTGGAATAATGGGAGGAACAGAGAAGTCAGGATTAATCAGCGTTTTTACACAATGCAGAGAATTAACCCCTTAGGTTCCACAGTGAGTATAACAAACATGCTTTACTGTATATACAGACTGATTTTACTGTTGTGGGTTTAGTGACACTTTAGCCAAGTTTGTTCTACACTAACATGATGGGTGAGTCTAGAACAAGCTCATTGAAAGTCTGGGTACTCTGGCAATCTAAGGCAGGATGGACAGATGCCTTGCTGCCTATTTTACTTGGGTGACAAAGCTGCCTTTAAAATACAGCATTAAAGTATAAATTCACCAAGAAGCATTAGGGTTTTTTGGTTTAAAGGATAAGTTCACAGTTCATAAATGCACATTTTTTTGCAGATAAAGCATTTAGCCTGTACAGCACTGCACCAGTGACCAGCAAATCACTGCTGCCATGCAGGTTTCCAGCAGACTGTCAGTTTAATCTGTGTGCTCGTATCTCGTATGAGCAGACAGCTTAACACTGACAGGAAGACTGAATGAAACTACAACAGTGCTCCACAGAGGCGCAGTAGTTCATTGAGAATTACAAGCCGACATTGCAAAGGATGTTGGGACTTGTAGTTCATTCGTTCACAGAACTCTGTGAGTAAATGATATGGGCTTGTGGGTGGAGCACGGCCACGCCGATTTAAAAAACTTACAGCTGGTACGGGGAACTCGGGTATCAGGGAGCAGATGGAGGACGGGTGGAATACGTAACATGTTCCCAAAAAAGGTTGTGTCCTAAGTAATCATGTCCCGTGGTGTAAAAAAAAATTAGGAATTATACTTTACCAGTAAAATCCTTTTCTTGGAGTACATCACAGGACACAATAAAGTTAATACTCATAACTACTGGGGTTATGCTGCCACCTTCAGAGCGGGTGCTCAGTGTCCTGTGATGTACTCCACGAAAAGGATTTTACAGGTAAACAATAAATCCTAACTTTTATTACACCACAGGACATGATTACTTAGGACACAACCTTTTGAACAGTGAGGACTACTTAAAGTGTTACTAAGCTCACAACAGTAAAATCAGTCTGTATATGCAGTAAAGCATGCTTGTTATACTCACAGCGGGATCTAAGGGCTAAAGGGCTCATGTACTCTGCAGCTGCTAGACTGTTTTTTTCAGCAGCCCCTAAACTCTCCTTTATGTTTTCCTACGTGTCGTTTACAGCAGTTTACAGGCAGTTGAGCTGGCAGGCATTTTTTTGAAAGCACAAAAATTGCGTTCAGGGTAGAGTTTACCAGCGTTTCAAACACCAAATGCTTATAACCACGTGTAAATGCGTTAATGCGCATTTGTGTTTAGAGGTGTTTTTGGGCTGGTCCATATCCAGATGCTGTCCAGAGCCTTTTTTCTTCATCAAAAATGCATGCACAGCGTTTTCTATGTATTCAAATGGACCTATTACACCAGCGCAGTCAGTTCCAGGTTTCGCATGCAGGAAAAAATGGTAGAACGTGCCGCATTATTTCTGCACAGAACTGTACTGAAACACATCAAAACACAGCAAAAAAGCACAAGGAGTGTTGTGTTCATTCCAGAATGCATCCGGAGGCATTACAGCACTATGTAGCTCCTCCCACAATGCCAAGTTTGTTTCACGAGCCACTTTTGCTACAGTTGCAACTCCCATCAAAAAAAATGGTGCTTTCTCTATTTCTCAGAAAATGTCTCAAATAGTTAATTATTTACTATTTTTCAGTGCATTCTGGGCATTTGGGAGGGTCTCGTGAGGTTATCTTATAAAAACGCTTCTTGTGAGCAGCATGACCACCTCCCCTGACATCCCCCTGACGAAGCCACGTGACCCGGTGGCGCAACGTGTAGGGGAGGGGCTCTGACGTCACCACGCACTCAAGGACTAGACAGCAAGTATAGGCTGTGTGCGACACACACACAAAGGAGGCTCTTTATCTAATACAAAGCGTGATATCTATGTATACATTGTGAGTGTATAAGCATATTGGGTACAAATTAAACGGCTTTTAAAAAGGATAAGACACTATATTTCCTTTCTTTCATATATTTAAACGATGGACAAACAGAGAGACGGAGGAGTAATCCTTCAGTAAACAGAGGGAGAGGTCCATGCACCCCTATCCATAATTAAGGATTGGATTATCCAGGAAACTCCAGTGGACATCTATTATCCAGCAGATCGCAAACGCAGAGCAGCTGAAAGGTCCAGCCATTATTAGGACACAAAGTTATGTTTGCCTAAATTATATGTTAGGCTTTCATTGAGGTGAGCGCATATTGATATTCTAATTCGGAGGGCACTCACACAAGAAATAGACACCGCTTGAATCATATGAATTCACTTTTGGGACTATCACTATTTATAATATTTTATTTTTTATTTATTTTTATTTATTTAGATTTAAATATTCATTTAATTTATATAATTTTTCACTATATAATTTTCTATAATCATGTCACATGTTGCAAATGCTATTTTGAATTAAGCACAGGATTAATGACAAACAATTGATGATTTATTAATGAACTTATAAAAGTTCAATACCAATATGCAATTGCAGTGTTTATGGAGTGCGACATTTAAGTGGTTTTATTTGTGGTTTTGTAACACATGGTTATGAGAATGTGTATTAATGTCAGCAAACCATATTATTAATGATATAGCACGATACTCACTTTAGAAATTTTGTGGCTCACAAGCGTATTTCACAAACAAATTTTAACATCAAATAAAGGTCCAATGGAGTCAAAGGCGGCCACAATCCATATGAAGCCCTGCACAAAGGATTTTACTAAGAAATCAGATGGGAAAGGTCTTTAAAACAGGAAAGACTGAGATTTTCCCCTTGCTGGTACTTAATGTCATAGACATCTCCACACAAGACTGGGAGAAAAAACCAAAATGCACCTAAAATATATTGTGAAGGATCAAACTTGCAAGCCTCACACCAAGTGAAATAAGCCTTCCTTATATGATGATACACTTTTCTGGAGGCTGATTTTTTTTTGCCTTGAGAAGGGCAGAAATGACAGTCACAAACACCCGTATACCTCAGGGCTTGAGCTTCAACAGCCATGAAAAGCCACAACTATTAAACAGGAAGAAAGATTGGGTCCTGCTGCAAAAAGTTTGAATGATCTGGGAGAGCCCATGACTCACATGCCAAGAGACAATGTCCGCATACCATGTTTTTCTTGGCCAACCAGATGAGATCTTAATCACCAGAATGTACTCCAACTTGATTCTGTGCAACAGGAGAGGAAGAAGCTGCAAAGGAGGGAAGGCATAGATCAGGGAAAGGCCAGCCAAATCACCCGAAGCTCCACAATGTTGATCAACAACTTCTGCTCCCCACAAAAAGAGGAAGGGGAAGAAAAGCACCCATGCATTCCAAATCAATGAAGGCCCAAAAGAGGTGGTCATGCAAGCCAAAAATGGTCACTGAAAATTTTTCCCGACAAATAGGAACCGTCTGACTTTGCCCCAAAACATTGCAATCACCAGATAAGGGCAGGGATTCAGAGCCAATCTGAACCTGAGGGATGCAATTACAGGACTCTGGTTGTGCAAGGGCTGCTCTGGATTATTTTAGGAGATGACGTGGAGCTGTGCCAATACTATGCTGTAGCTGCAAATGCTGAGCTGTTGATTACACAGGCTTCTGTGCCAAGGGAAACTGAAAATGGCGTCCTGGATTATTTTAGGAGTTGACGTGGAGCTGTGCCAATGCTATGCTGTAGCTGCCCATGCTGAGCTGTTGATTGCACAGGTTTCTGTGCCAAGGGAAACTGAAAATGGCATCCAGGTGAGCGCGATGACATCACTGTGCCTGATCCGTCCCTTTTGAACAACGCTATGATGATGTGTCATTCCAGTCCTGAACTTCTATAAGCCCTCCCAGCTCAAAGCACCAGGGAACACTAGGTGACTGACACATTTTCC